AGAGAGAGAGAGAGAGAGAGAGAGAGAGAGAGAGAGAGAGAGAGAGAGAGAGAGAGAGAGAGAGAGAGAGAGAGAGAGAGAGAGAGAGATTGACTCGGTTATGAATAGAAGTGCACTTGAAATTTTAGCATTTGCATGGAAAGTTTAGGGTACTCGGGACAAAATGTCGGGTGATCTGTTCGATTGCGAGTTTGAAGGCACAGCTGCGAATTTGAGGACCTATTTCCGGAACGAGTTTCGCTGTAGTCTGTTTGGATTAGAGGGGCAGCATTGGAAGAGCTTCGTTAGAGCCCGGTGGTATGGATGGGGGGACGACAGAAGGGGGCAGTGGGTGTYCGTGGTTGTGCGGCTTTTCCTAGCGATCTACTGGAGCATATGCCTGCTACTGGATGCGCTTTTTCAAGGGGCCGGCCTCGGCTCCAYATACAACTATGACTCTATTCTGGACGAAAGATGGCTGCTTTATCTCACCAACTGGTGTGCTGTTATTGAGGCTATCTATTTACTTCTTGCTGCTCTTGTCTGTCTCCTTTTCACACTAAATGCCTATCCTCTGTCACCTTCAGGGCCTCCGAATGAAGTGGATATCAACCCGGCTGTTGCTGTTCCGGGATCATCAGCTGGCTCATTGCATGAGGGTTTCAGGAACTCAACCGAGGTCGCATCAAGAGACGAGGCTTGCTGCAATATGGATATCGTGGAGATCGATCGTGGTGGCCATGGCCATTTTGTGGCCAGGGAGAAGTGCGACGAAGGTGCGGGGATCACTCATGTCGGGGCGAGCGGGGATGGCGACTGCACACATGTGGAGAAAGAGGCAGTGGACGTGAGTCAGTTCAAGCCTCCGCGGCTTCCGTGGGTGTACAAGCTCATATGGGTCCTGCGAAATGTCGTAGCCACTTGTAGTTTCATAGTTTTCCTGTCCTACTCTCTATGGGCTGTCCTCTATTCCTTACGTTTCGATGCTCTGGACAAGAACCTTCATGGAGTAAACTTCCTGATCATTGCGTTGGACACGGCGGTGGCTGCTACGCCCGTGCGACTACTCCACTTCTATCAGCCTCTGCTTGTTGGAGTGACGTACTCGGCTTTCACTGTCGTTTTCTGGGCCGCTGGAGGTCGTAACAAGGTGGGCAAACCGTACATATACTCGTCGCTGAACTACGAGGAGGACCCAAAGACAGCAGCCATGTATCTGGTAATCCTCTCTCTCGTTGTGGTGCCTTCCATYCATTTCTTGATCTGCTTGTGGTCTTACACGTGGTCTCGTATACTCCGGCCACGAGGAAAGCTAGCCTCTCATGCTTGTGGGAGGCCCGTCAACAATCCCTGAGGAGGTGGTGCCAGCAGTCGGCGAAAAACTCCTTTTGTGGGACCATTACCCAGTTCACGGAC